AAGCTTAGCTTGCTCCTGCTCATAATGGATATTAACTGCCAAATGCTTCATCTGCAAATCCCCTGTCATCTTTTATCTCATCCCCAGATAGGACAAGAGCACATTTTGGAGAGAACTCAGTATTTCAGGGGACTTACTCTTTGCAGCTCCGGATAGCTGTCACTGTTCTGAGAAGCCAACCTTCTAAACTAGGTAGAAACTCAGCTGAAAGGCGATTTCTTGGTTCCAGGGCTCAACAAGAAGAACCTGAAGCATTCCAGGAACCACGCCCCGCCCCTGCTAGAATAAGCCATCCCTTCAGCCCCAGCTACCAACCTTCCCGTCAGCCTGAGGCTCTTTCCTAGGAAAGGCCTACCTACCATTCCCCTCCCTCTTCTGCCTCCTCCTTCTCCCTCCTCCACACACCTGGCCTTCTCCTTCTCCCTCCTCCACGCACCTTCTATGAAATTTTGCCTCTTAGAAAAAAAGGCTACGGACTGGAGAAAGGTTGCATTCAATCTCAGATCCCTATTACTGGTCTGGATTTATTGAATCAGGGAAAGTCATATGCTTCTGAAACAAGGAACACCCAGAGGTCACAAAACAAATCTTTCCTATCCCCATCGAAAGGAGCCAAGACAGCTGAAGCCTCCATCGAAATTGCCGGGACGGAGATTCAATAACCTCCTCTCATGTTCTAGTATTATCACCCAACCCTTACCATTGCAAAAGCATTCCTTCCTTCCAACTTCTCTGTTTCTGCAATAAAAACCCCCGCTCACTCCGGTTAAATTCTCCAAAACAATGGAAAGCTCTTTCAGTTACTCCTAATTTGTTTTGGGCTACTTCAGAAAATAGTGCATGAAGCTAAATCAAGTCCATGTGTTTACCATCTAAAATTTATATACAGTTTTACGATTTAGAACACAATTTGAAATATATTATCTTATTTGATTTACCCCTTTCAACAGCCCCGTGAGAGAGATGCAATAAATGTTATAATCCTCAAATGACACACTATGCTTGTGAACTGGAAAGCATTTCATATGAATGAGCTATTGCTTTACATATGGGGAAACCAGAGGCAGTATGTGACTTGCCCAAGGTCACACAGTTAAGGGGCATACCAGGCTCAAATTAGAAACTCTTGGCTTAAATCTAGTACTTCTCTGTTTTGGTCCTCACATGAGCTAACTGCACAGAGAAAAGCTGTTTTATGGATTAAAATTTTAACCCATCTGGCCATCTCAAAACATTTGCCATGGAAAATGAGGCCAGGGGATATAGGTGACAGTAGAATTCATCACTATTCCTATAAAAATAATTCAGTATCATTACCTTTGCTTGCAATATCAAACACATTTTTAGAAACTCTAGAGAAGAATATATACTAATGGACAATGGGCTGTTCATGGACAAAAGCTGAAAGGAATAAGAACAGGTATGTTTTAGTAACCCATTTTCCAGTAACAACTGATTAACACTAAAGATAAATAATAGTCACAAATACTCCATGTTTCTTTGAACCCAGGAATCACTCCCCGAGAAGGGGTGAAAGACTCTGTCAAATAAAGATTCCAAAGCCCTTTCCTTTGAGCCACGGCATCTCTCTTCCATCTCTCTTTCATCCCTCCTAGAAAATATTCATCACCTGGAGAGCCTTCTCTAATCGACTTTAACTACATCTGAAATTTATACATGAATGTAAAGTCTGAAAGTGAAGAATTTATACTTGCTGCCATGTTCGTTCATTCTAACATTCACTTATTGATATTTACTGAACACTTACAAGGTGCTAAGCTAGGCACGCAGGATATACCTGAGCAAACCAAACACAGCCTTTATGAAGCTTGTAGTCTAATGTTGCTTTTAAGTGGTTTTCAATAGTCTTAGAGACCTTTCCTAGCTCCCCGATTAGATTGCATGCTCTTTGTGAGCAAGAACTGCATATTTTAATTTTCTAAATCACTCTTATGGCATCTTACACTAAGCTCTCTACACAGCAAATTGATAAACTAAGAGAATCCTTAACTCCGTAAACAGGGCATTTACTTCCAACTCCATCCCTCCAGGATGATATAAGATTGTGAATTATTTACTTATTCATTTGTCCAGCATGAATAAGTCTTTATTTATTCATTTTATTTTCCCAGGGAAAGGAGGGGACGGGAAAGGGTCAGCATATGTCACAAAATGATAGCAAAAAGAAGTACGTAACGCAGCAAAATCAACCATCATATGAACAGTCCCCAGTGATGGGGATCATGAAAGTTCAAGTGGGGGGGCTCAGTCTCCTTCAGTTCAGGAATGCAGGGGAGGGACCAAGGAAAGAACCGGCAGGTACATGCTTTCCAACAGATGGGGAATTATTTAAAATCCACAGGGTCGGGAAACTGGGATGTCAAACAGTCCAACATAATGAATCTACAGCAAAAGGGGTAAGATCCAGCCAAGACTGGTTTGGCTCAGTGAATAGAGCGTCTGCCTGCGGACTGAAAGGTCCCAAGTTCGATTCCGGTGAAGGGCATGTACCTTGGTTGTGGGCACATCCCAGTAGGGGGTGTGCAAGAGGCAGCTGGTCGGTGACTCTCATCGATGTTTCTAACTCTCTATTCCTCTCTCTTCCTTTCTGTAAAAAATCAATAAAATATATATTTTTTTTAAAAAAAAAAGGGTGTGGGGGGTAAGATCCAAAGCAACTGGAGATAACTTATTTGAAGGGGGCAAAGGCCCCAGAACCGATCCTCTAATGGGGAAGGGATTCTGGACAGGAGTAAGAGTGAGGAGCACTCTCACTCTACAGAGCTGCATTATGCTGCAGGAGAAAATGGGGCTTTAACCACAGAATGAAGAAGAGCATCTTACCCACTGCCCAAAGCAGAATGAAACGGCGCCCCACTGCATACAGAACTACTGAGACAGAGTGGGCCATGGAGAGAGCCATGGGTCCAGAATCAGAAGATCTGCATTTGAGTCCAGGTTCTGCTGAGAGTCAGGCAAGATGGCACTAGGCAAGCCAGGAATCCTCTATGAGCCTCAATTTTACCCTGTAAGATGGAGTAATAACCTGATTTATCTGCCTCACGGAAATACTGTGAGGACCTAATGGCAGATGTTCTATGGAGCATGAGGAAAACAACTGAGCTCTACAAACCCCGAGAGGACAGGGAGGGTACACAAACTCCCCGAGGAGCCTCTCTCCATCCGGGAGCCCTCCCTGCCTCCTCCTTGTATTCCCTCAGCACGTAATTTCCCATCTTCTCATATCCCCGAATTCAGAGGCGTCGTCCACCATCCACACCGCAAAAACACAAATTCCAAGAGGAGGGAAAAGGGCAGCATGTAA